ACACACCTAGTGGTCACGTTGAGGAGTCCAGCCCCGCCCCTCAGGAACCCCATTCTCTAAGTCTTGGACCCCACAGTCCCATCTTCTCAGCTCCACCGTCATGGTCCCCAGCGCAGCCAATGGTCCTTGCTTGGGCTCTGCCTCCATGACCCGCCCACCCCCGCCACTCTGGCCAAGTCCCCAGAACCCCAGCAGGGCCCAAGGTTCCCAAACTCTTAGACTCCTTCCGCACTGTCTGGCCCCCAGCCTCCCAGCCCCGCCCCTTTCGGCCCCATCGCTTTCCCCACCTGCGCGCCTATCCCCACCCTGGCACCCAACCCAACCCTGGTCTCCGTCCTCCCCGCCCAATTTCCACAGGCCGCCTCCGCCCCCCATCGGGCTTATTGACCTGCGGGGGTGCACCTACCCCACCCATGGCCGCACCCCTACCGCCGCCTGGGCCCCGAGACGCCCTGGTTCTCTTCTTCCCAGCCTGTCGGCACCGGGAGCCGGTTGGGGCGCTGGGCACGCCCTGCGCCGGCCTGAGTATTGGGACTAGGAGTTCCGTTCCCATATCCACCCCCCAAGGCTTTACAGCCACCGGCCAGGTTACTTACTGCACACAGTCCTGTGACAAGAGATCACCCTCCCAGGCCTCATGGGGTTTCTGCCGCCCACCTTAGTACTGTGTGCTCAAAAAGAGCCTGCCTGTCTCCGAGGCCCAGATTCCAAGAATTGACTCCGCGTCGGCCCTCTTCCGTGGTTCCCAGTTCCCGGGCGCTCCCTCTGCTAGCCCAGCCTTTTGCTAAGGGCTCTAAACTCTTCCTGTCTGGCGGTTCTGAAGCCAAGCCCGATCAGTCCCTCTTCCAGTTAGAGCACTCAGCAGATAACCGCCTGGTTATCTGAGCATTCTTGGGCCCACTGGACCCTTCTTCATCCACCTTTTAACAAGGAGGTTCCCATGGCTGTGGCAACGGAAGCGCCCTGGTCAGGCAAGCAAAGGAATGTGCTTTCTAATCGCAATTGCTTCACCTATCACTGGCCCGGCAGGCCCACACTCAAGCAATACTATTCCTCTCTGAGCATCAGTCGTCCGCCAGTGGCAATAGCCATGCCTGCTTCGCAGGGCTGTGGTAAAGATCATGCTTGTGGAAGTGTTCTGGAGAGAGTTAATGCTATCTATCATCCGATCAAATATTTATTGGGCTGGGCTCCTCTTGTGCCCGCTCTGGAGATACAAGTGGGCACCACCTGGTGGTGAGAGGATGAGATTGGAAAGGTGAGGCTGTCTGCTCCCATCGGGATTTACAATTCCAGAAATCCAAAGGGGCAGTTCATTCTGTCCTATAAGGTCACTATGGGTTGGAATTGACTGGACGCCAGCGGTGGTTGGTTGTGGTGGTGTTTTTGGCGGGGGTGGGTGGGGTGGGTTTCATGTGGGCAGCGGTGGAGGCGCCAGCTTGAGAATCAGATGAGCCAGCTGCCATTTCCTGAGACTGGCTGGTCAGGAGTGCGCTGAGGAGTCCAGCAGGGGCACGCTGGGATTCCGGGATGCTTGAGATGCTAGGTGGGAAAGGGCTGAGAAGAGCAGCCAGAAAGGGGGAAATGGGATATTGTGGTGACACACGGGGCTTAGAAGCCATTGGAGTGAACCCAAGGAGATGGTTGCAGGCAGTGTTTTGTGTGGAAGGACAGCTCTTTAAAGTCTGGCCACAAAGGGAAGGAGAGGGGGGGAGTGCATTCAGAAAAGCACCAAGGGTATTTGAGCGGTTCGTTTCCTTTTCTGTTGGCTTTGTGTTACCTGGCATTACGGAGTAGGTTTCCTGGATGTCAAGCAACAGAAAACTGGGCGAATTAAGCCAAAAAAAGGACTGTGTTGGAAGATTCAGGGAGCTCACAGAATTGAAGCAAATGCTGGAGAACTAGCCATGGTCCAGAGGTGACCTCAACCCTCCATAACAAACCCTGCTCCACAGTCTCACCCTGTCACCATTCCGGAAGGGAGCGTGCTGAGCGCCTTTTCTATAGCTCCCCAGCTCTAGATTCCAAGGGCCAGGAGAAGGGGAGCTCGATGGCAGAGCTGTGGGAATGTGTCACTTTTCTTGGGCTTTGAAAGGAATAACTTGGCAGAAAACATCTCTACAAGGACCGTGGTCTTTCCCAATAGGAAGACGGGCTCCTTAGTTTACTGACCCACCAAGACCCCACAGGAGAACACAAGGCATGTTTTCCCCAGAAGGAGTAGAGGCTGGGTAACCAGAATCAGACAAATAGCCACAGCTCATTGTAACACATTGAGCATTCTTGGCACATATAAAGGAAGTGGATGAAGATATAGGAAAGGGTGGGGATTACTGGCATGAAGTTCCCAGTGGGCTGAGATCCAGAAAGTGTTACTTAGGAAAAAGGAGGCTTCTCTGTGCGTCTGGAAGGCAAAAAGAAGTTATTGGGAGCAAAATATAGGTACATTACCAAGTTAAGAAAGTAAAGAGTTTTTGTCTGGTAGCTTCTGTTTTGTCTGGGAAATTAAAGGGCAGGTTATGTGCTGAAACAGAAAGGGGGAGATACCAAAGCTGGAAGGTTAAGGAAAGTGAGTAAGTTTGAA